AAACAATAAGTAACCCACATTATTTCTTTGTGCATATAAAATCTTCACGAAACTCAAAAATCAAACATTGGTAACGCGGCACAGGCATTAGATCATACGTCGAACATTATACAATTTTGACCAATAATAGGTCTATCACGCCACAACTTAATCAACCAATGAATGAATATGTGGCACTATTTGTGGCTTGGCACTACTCCGCTTTAACGGTTCCCCTAAATAGAAATGACTTGGATTAAAGCTTTAACACATTAATTTATATAAGATAATTGGTAAATTTAAAAAATAGAATTTAAATTTAAATTTAAAAAATAGAATTTAAATTTAAATTTAAAATTACCTTTTAGAATAATTAAATCATTCTTATGTTGTATCAAATAATAAAATTAACACATAATATATTACCAAATTTCGAAGGTAGAGAACTAACAATTGATCAACTAACAAACTTTCGCTAAAGCAGGCATTTTCACGTGTGATTGAGTTTTGTGCAAAGCATTGCGAGAAGCTTTGTAAAATTATTCTTGATTTTCTTTGTATTGAATTATGTATAGATAGTCAAATTACAATTTTCGCGTGTTCACATGATACGTATCTTATTTACATGTCATGTGAAATTATATGATTTGACATATTATCCTATCGCTATCATGCGATCACGTGATAATCGGAAATTCCCGTTATGGGGATATAAAAAATAATCCCCTTTCAATAATCTGGGAATCATAACGCTGATCAAAATTATATAATTCCGGCCGGAACTATGTAACAAAAATTGAGTTTGATTGACACCAAAATTTTCTCGAATAACTACTGTTCTGAAAAAATAAGTTCGCAAAGATGGGTAAAAAAGACAAGAAAACGGGGAAAGGCAAGTGAATAAAGGACAAAAAAATCGGATTAAAAAAAAAGAAACTGCTAAATCAGCCATTATTGTAAATTTGAAAAAAAGCTCAGGTCGCCTCGATAAATATTATCATTTGGCCAAAGAACAAGGATACCGTGCTCGTTCTGCTTTCAAATTAATCCAACTAAATAAAAAATATAATTTTTTGGAACGATCTCGTGTGTTAATTGATTTATGTGCTGCGCCTGGTGGTTGGTACGTTAATATTCGTTAATTCAGCAAATTACACTCTTATTACAATATCATTTTTTTTAAATTTCAGGCTACAGGTTGCAAGCAAATACATGCCAGTATCTAGCTTAATAATTGGTTTGTTTGTCTATTTATATATGCATAAATTTCTTATCAGTATGATTCTCAAAATCACTGATTAAATAAAGAAATCAATCAATTAATAATATAGGTGTTGATCTTGTTCCCATAAAACCAATTCCAAAAGTAATAACATTACAAAATGATATAACTGCAGAGAAATGTTTTGATGCTTTACGACACGAACTAAAATCTTGGAAAGCTGATACGTAAGTGAATATATTAACAAGAATTGTAATTTGGGGATTATAAGGTTATATTTGTTAATTACCGCCGTATTTATTTAGTGTGCTTCATGATGGTGCTCCGAACGTTGGTGTGACGTGGGTACATGATGCTTTTTCACAATCAGAGTTGACGTTGATGGCGCTGAAATTGGTCGTTGAATTTTTAGCCCCAGGAGGCAAGCATTATTGATTGTATCATAGTTTTTTTTATATTTTAAAAAACAGTCAAATTCATTATATATGCTATATATATTAGGTACTTTTGTGACCAAGATCTTTAGATCTAAAGATTATAACAACCTTTTATGGGTGTTTAATCAATTATTCAAAAAGGTCGAGGCGACAAAACCCGCTTCTTCGAGGTACCCAAATCTTAGTATTTAATTTATTAATAAATCATATATATATATATATATATATATATATATATATATATATATATATATACATACAATTAATTTCTTAATTTGAATTGATGATTTAGAAATGTATCCGCGGAAATATACGTAATCTGCAAAGAATTTCTTGCCCCGAAAAAAATTGATCCAAAATTTCTTGACCCACGTTCTGTGTTCAAAGACTTGGAAATTGGACCACCTAATAAATCTGATGATGTTTTACATCCAACCAAGAAAAAGCGGCACCGTGATGGCTACGAGGACGGGAATTATACGCTGTATAAAAAAGTGTCAATTATGGAGTTTGTGAATTCTGATGATCCTGTTCGTGTACTTGGCGATGCTAATATATTAGAATTTGATACTGATGAAGCTAAAGTGTGGGTATTTAATTTATACATTATATTCATAGAAATAAGGGATTGTTTTTATCAAAAATTGCTCTATTTATCGCTCGCAATCTTTTTTTTGAATTATTTTATAGGCTGTTAAATCATGAATCAACCAAGGATGAAATCAAACTTAGCTGTGAGGATTTAAAAGTTTTGGGAATACGCGAATTCAAAAATTTATTAAAATGGCGTAGTGCGATCCGAATATTTGTAAGTCTTCATTATTGTTACAATTTTGAATTGTATATATTTATGATATTCTATATCAAACGCTTTTTTTAATCAAAGCTCAGCAAAGATGTGCCTAAGAAAGAAAAAGTTGAAACGAAGGAAATCCAAGAACCAGTCGACGAAGATCAAGCAATTCAAGAAGAGGTTTATATTTTATTTTCTGCTTTGGTGAGTTATTTGATTATTGACAAAATCATAATAATATAATAAATCAATTGGAGAATAGCTTGATACACTTACTAAAGAAGACCGACTACGCCGAAAACGACTACGGCGCAAAGCTAACGAAAAAAAACAAAAAAGTATAACGAGAATGCAACTAAAAATGATTAATCCAACTGATATTGCACTTGATCAAGTTGGACCTGATGGTGGTGATCCTTTGTTTGATCTTCAACAAGTGGATAAAGCAGGGGTATATATAACATCTTTTTTCAGATGTTATCATTTTTTCTTTATAATTAATTTTTTTGATCTAATGCTATCTCATTGCTAATTATGATATATATTAGGCAATAAAAAAGGTCCGAAAAGGAGATATGGATATAGCACTGGATAATGATGAAAGAAAGCAAGATGACGGTGATATTGTAATCGATGATAGTGATGTTCAACCCAAGAAAAGTAGTAATCTCAAAAATGAAAGTGATGAAATTGGAGAGGGTGATGGTTTGGAAAGTAGCGAGGATGGTTTAATTGAATTAGAAGCGCAATTAGATGAAATGTAAATACTTTAATTTTGCTTTTTTTGCATCTTTATAAAATAAAAACCGATTCCCTTATAATGTAAATAGGTATGAAGAGTATAAGGAAAGGAAAGCAGAACGTGATGCGAAATACAGAGCGAAAAAGCTGCGAGGGGAATCCAGCGATTGGGATGAAAATCAAAAAAAATTCGATGATGACGATGACGAAGAGTTAGATAAATATTATGACAGCGATTCTTCAATTATTTCATTGCCAAAACGTGATAGATTTGACGACTCTGAAACTTCGGATAGCAGCGATAGTGATTCAGGATCTAACCGGGCTAATAATTTAATTGCCGCAAAAAATGCCAAGAGTAAAAGAAAAAGTAAAATGACAAAGTTAATAACCGAGCTTGAAAGTGATAAAGATGACGACGACGAAAAAGACATAAATTTAAAAAGTCGTGATCAGCTGAGCAAGAAAGCCGCATTATTTTTTGATCAGCCGTTATTTAAGGGAGTAATAGAGGAAGTGGAGAAAGACTATGAGTCATCAAAAGATAATGATAAAAAGGAGGATAAGATTGATTCAAAAGATAAACAAAACAGAGAGGTAAAGCAATCCACTATTAGTGACAACGGGAATTCGAAAAAGAGAAAAGCTGATGAGGTATATTTAGAATATATATAAAAAGATGCAATGTAATTGATAATCAAAGATTCACAATATTTATATTTACTAGATGGAAAAGGATAATGAGAAGGATGAAGACGATGACATCGAAGTAATTATGACAAACAATCAAGATGATGGTGAAAAAATGTGGGATGCAAATGAATCCGACGAAGACGAAAAGAAAATGAAACGTGTTCAAAAGGTTGGTCTTCTTACACCTGAAGCAATAACACTAGCACAACAATTAGTAAATCGTCAAAAAACAAAACAAGAACTTATTGATGCCGGGTTTACACGTCACGCTTTTTACGATAAAGAAGGATTACCGGAATGGTTTTTAGATGATGAGAAGCGTCATAATCAGCCAAATTTACCAGTTACTAAAGAAGCTGTTGAATTGATACGTGAACGAATGAAAGCGTTGAACGCGCGTCCTATCAAGAAAATTGCAGAGGCTAAAGCAAGAAAGAAGATGAGGGTAGGTTATAATTAACTTCCTATTTCATTAATAGCACAGAATAATCATTTATTTCATTTATTTTTCCTTCTAATAGGCTCTTAATCGGCTAGCAAAACTACAAAAAAAAACCGATGTAATTGCAGCCAAATCTGATATGACTGAACGAGAGAAATCCCAAACGATCACCAAAATTTTAAGTAAAGTACAAAAGAAAAAGAAAGAAGTAAAGGTCGTGGTTGCCAAGGGTACTATTAAAGGCACAAAAGGCAGACCCAAGGGAGTCAGAGGAAGATACAAGGTATTTATATAATTATTATTAATGACATTATATAAGTTAATGTTTTTTTTCTTAAATTTATTATATTGATTTTATAAAAGATGATTGATGCTCGGATGAAAAAAGAAGTAAGAGCAATGGATCGTATAAATAGTAAAAATAAGAAAGGGAAAGGGAAAGGGAAACCTCCTCGCAAGAAACAAAAACGATAAAGGATAATCTTATTTATCAATGTATCGGAGCCATGTAGCTTTATTATAAGCTCGTCTAGTATTTCCTGAAATCACGAAAAATTTTATAAAGAAAAATTCTAATGTCTTCAACATCAATCTGATACTTATGGTTTTGCATTCATTTTAAAGTTAATAACAGAGAATTTTTAAAAATTTAATTCCAAATTAACTTAAGTTGATTCTGAATCAACTCAAATCCTATTCCAACTCATGACATATATACACAATATATTTATATATTTATATATTTTAATTATAATTACTGAATTAATATTATTTTAAGAACAAAGCTTGAATTATTATTTTGCTTGCAACTAATACATCTGGAATAGATAAACTTAAATCTCATTATTGGTAAATCTTTGAAACCATGTGCATTTTCTGGAATCAATATTTCAATTCTTTCTGTAATATACAAAGCAAATTCTAAAGTCTGAATGAGAAATAACATTTTCAATAATTGATTACAATATCTTGATACTAGTTTTCAAATTCAACAATGATATATAATAATGCTTGTAGATAATGCACCTAGTCACAAATTTGTTATTTAGAGTTTAATTGAATAATTAATAAAATTTGCTAAGTCTGCATGGTAAAAAAAATAAATTAAAATCAGTAATCATAAAAATGAAAAATCAGATTTAGAATTTTCTGAGACTAAATCTATTTCATCACAAAATTCATTTAATAATAAAAATGAAAATGAGAATAAAAATAATAATAATAATTATAATAATAATTATCAAATACTTAAGTTGATCAATATTTATTTTATTTATTTATCATATATATATTTAAATTATTTATTTTTTAATAGATAAATACAAATAACTTTATATTGTCACTGATTCAATATCGACTATAATTTCAAAAGAACACGTGAACAAAAGATGCGGCATGATAAAATTAGTCATAATGATATTTAGACTACGTAATTGATTCGATAATATTCTACTCCTTTCTATTTCTTTCTATTTCTTTCTCATATTATCTATTTTTCTATTTGAACATATTTATTACATCATTTTCTTGGCAAATTTCATTATTATCTATATTAGTTTAGTCTTTATTTTTTATTTTTGCTATTGGTATTTAGATGTAGAACAAGATTATTAATTATGATGTAGTTAA